ACAGGTAATTAATGCAACAGGGGGGGGCCCATGAACCACTTTTTTGGGACCACGAACCCTCTCCATCCCCTGGGGGCTCTAATATAATGGGTGCTTTAATATATATAGGTGGGGGCTTCATATTAGCTTCATATTAGCTTCACATATGTTAAAGTAGGTATTGTACAAGCAGTGATACTGGAAGTATCATCTGCTAAAAGGTGTTGCCAAATTTTCTCACTTTTCATTCGGACATATCTCAGGAAATATGTCAGAAAGGGTAACATCTTTTGAACGTGCGTTTAGGACCAAAGATTATTCGGCGACGAAAGATCACGGTTTGGGGTTAAGTTAGTTATTTTCTCCCTCCACTTTCTGCGTCAAGTGGAATTTGCTTTGGAATTTCTGACTAGAATGTAATGACACTTAAAGCTAGAATGCTCAAGAATGACCTTTTGTGGGAGTTATTAAAATCCGTTCTGGACTGTCAAACCAGGGCTGCATTGCGTTTGATCTAGTCCATGTGGAATCCCCCTAATCTATGCACCGTCAATTTCCTCAGCGAGCCTTGATTGAGGCTCAAGGCTATCCGGCGGAGGACCATGTCGTTGTGACAGAAGATGGCTACATACTTTCCATGTTTCGCATTCCTCGGCCGGATTGTCCACCTGTGTTCCTGATGCATGGTCTTCTTGCTTCGTCTGCCGACTACGTTGTGCTCGGCAAACATCGCGCTCTGGGTAAGTTTGGCACCAAAATCGCAGCAAGGCGATGTATGGTTCATCTCTTGCCAGAACCCAGAAAATCGTTTCCTTGGAATAAAACAAAATATCCTTAAGTTCAAGAAATTTTCCTTAAATGAATATAACAAAATGTTTTCGTTGGAATAAGGAAATAATTGCCTAAATTCAATGAAAATTCTTTATTTAAAGGGCATTTTACTTTGAAGCGATAGAATTTCTTTGATAGAAAGATGCTCTTTGAAGGAAACACGTTTCTGGGTGAGCCAGCGTTGACCGAAGCTGATTACATCATACAGCCCAACATGCACGTATTTGAGGAGAGGGCTGTGTTCTAATTTTCTATCACGTTTAGAAATGTTTCGCTTGCAATCCAGTGACGTAGCGACGTTCATGAGAAGAGAGGGCGAGAGCAGATCGGGGGGAGGCCCGGTATTGTTGGGTATAGTCGGGCTGGTGGGCTGGTGCTGCTAGAATGGCACTAATAGTTGGGGAAATAGTTGGGAGGAAGAAAAATAGCGGGTAGAACATAAACGTAACCGATTGGTCGAGAACTTCCCACCTCTACGTCACGCCGGTTGCGGGGGTAAGCGCTTGGCAGGGATAGGCAAAATTTAACTAAACTAGTTACTGTAACTGTAACTAGTTACAATTTGCAGCAACTGAAACTGTAACTAGTTTCATTTTCAAACTAAATAACTTACTGTAACTAGTTACATTTCTTTCTGTAACTGTTACGAATTTCAGTTACAGTTATTTTTGCTCAGTAGAACTTTTAAAAAGTATGAGGTTTCTTTCCTGTTCATCCACATTCTTTTGCAATGTGCTATCTGGAGTCTGCGGCTAGAGCGGCATTCAGAGGAATGAAGGAAAGGGGGCTGGAAAGACGGTATCGTTTCGGCTATCTTGGGTCCGTGCAGGCCTATGCAAAGTGGCGGTGTGAGCGAGGAGGAAGACCCTTTTATTTACTGCTTGTCAATTATACGTATATCCGTTTCGGAGGGTGGGTTAGCCGCCCGCCCGCTTGTCTGGCAATAGTCGCAACACTCTGTACCTGCTGCACGCAGAAAAGAGTGCCCCCCCCCCTTCTCCCCACCCCTAGTCGCCCGCGCCTGCCCACTGCTAGTCCCTTTTGAGCCTAGTCAGACGGCAAGGAGAGGAAGGCAGAGTTTTGCGGACTTAAAATGATGCGTAGCCACCTATCTTGCAAACAATTTTTCAATCGGCAGAAGGGACACTTAAAAAATAATCAATATAAAACTACGACCAATTTAACTACCGGGATAACTGAAATTGTAACTAGTTACAATTTTGGGCGAAAAAAATGGAACTGTAACGGCAGTCTTTAAGAAAAGTAACTGTTATGGAAACAAGTTCCATTTTTGGCAAAAATAACTGCAACTGTAACTAGTTACATTTTTAAAATTAACTTTCCTATCCCTGGCGCTGATGAACCTTTATGTTGTACCCGCTATTCTTCTTCCTCTGTTAGTCGAAATACGCTATTTGTGATGACCATCACCTTTTTGAGCGACACTTTGATGTATCATAGTTTTTTGCAATATACGTCACACCGTTTTGAGATAAATTCAGAATCATCGCATTATTTTGCAATAAGAATCACACAATTTTGTGAGAAAAATTTATCACACCCCCAGGAGTAATAAATCATCGGAATCACGCAGGAAATTTTATCACACGGAAATGTGTGACAAGTATCACACTTCGAATTACAGTGTGTAGCTGCACTTTTAGCTGCCTAAAATTATTCTACCCCTTGCCTCGCTACTCGAGAGTACAAGCATATGAGACAAGTGTTCGTTAGTATAGTTGAAAATGTTTTATGTGTATCATCAGCTGAAAATACTTCGGTCACATTTGTACACTGTAATCCGAAATGTGATACTTTTTGCACACATTTTCGTGTGATAAAATTTCCTGTGTTATTCCCATGATTTATTACTCCTGAGGGAGTGATGAATTTTTATCACAAATTTTGTGTGATACTCATTGCAAAATAATGCGATGATTCTGGATTTACCTCAAAACGGACTGACACGTATTGCACAAAACTATGCTAGATCAAAGTGTCACTCAAATAAGTGATGGTCATCACAAATATAAGCAGGGAATTTAATCACAGGGAACTTGCAGTCAGTATCACACTCTGATTTACAGTGTATGTAGTCTACGTACGCTCTGAGCTCTGAGACGGATGAGGGGACGGGCTGAACGAATAAATGTCGCTTCTGCGACCAACGGTTTGTCTTGTGACCATTCATCTTCCGTTGCTCTCACATCCGTCTATCGTTCGATTCAGAGAAATGTTTCGTTCGTCGCAAGAGTGGTCACTACTTTTAAGATAAAAGACAACCGCGGTGACCGCAAACCGTCTCGTCTGACGCTGAGCCAACGCAAGTCAAATGGTTCCCTTTTGCGGCCAGACGAATGTGAGACAAACACTGCCGAGAACTAGTGGCCATGTGGCTAACATGGCGCAGGGCCGGCTGCTACTGCGCTGGACCAGCAGACGCCAGGGACGGATGGATCTACCCAGCACGGTAGGATGTGCTGACGTGTTGACTCGGAAATTCTGACTAGGGGGGACAAGTCCGTCGCGGCCGTCGTCAGAGTGCCGGACGTACATGCGAAGTTACTCGGCCGGCCGTCAACCATACCAGCATCTAACATATTGAGCAGGTCCTGTACAACGCGAATTATCAAGCCGCCGAGCGACCTTCCCAGATTAGTCGGCAGACGATCTCTTCTGTGGAATCGCTCAAGATATCCCTTATGTGCTTCGTGATCTGCTTAACGTGTTAGATGCTTCTTTCGTCCCTCCAAGTCAGAACTTTTGAGTCAACACATCCTCTACCTGGTGCTTAGGGTAGATCCGTTCCTATCGTCTGCCAGCCCTGCGCCACCGTGGCAACATGGTCACTTCGGCTCGGTTGCGTTCGTCTCACGTTCGTCTTGCTGAAAAGGGAAACCATGTGACTTCCGTCGGCTCAGCGTCAAACGAGACGTTTATCTCGGTCGTCTTTCGTTTGTGTTGTAGGTAAACATTATTTTGCACCCCTTACTATCTTTATCTCCTTGTCCTTCATTTCGCTTCATAAAAGAATCTAACCTTACCAACGCAATCGTGTGTGAAGTCCACTTAGAAGTTTACCGCACTTGTTCGCATAGTGCCGACAATAGGCAGCATTGTCGCCTATCCACATTCTTTTACTGCGCCTTACATTTCTTCAGAGCGGCTATTGCAGTGTCTTGATTATTTTAAGTGCGCTTCCCAATGATTTGCACAGCATCAGTACTGTATGAAGCGGGCTTCGACGTCTGGCTTGGCAATGCAAGAGGCACAACGGAGTCTCGGCGCCACAAGACGCTCGTACCTGGAGATGCCAAGTTCTGGGATTTCAGTTGGCACGAGATTGGATCACAGGACCTCCCTGCACTTATTGACCACGTGCTCAACGCTACAAATCAGACTTCCCTCCATTACGTGGGACACTCTCAGGTACCAAACTAAGGCCATTAGTGAGTGAGTGTGTGTGTGTGTGTGTGTGTGTGTGTGTGGCGTATTCACGTGCACTTGTCTAGTAGGTGAGCAACAACATCCTTAGCGAGTGATTAGTGATTCTCAGCGAATGGTACTGCAACAGTGGGTGACTGGAGCAATTTCATTAAGGGTCGAAATGTGAACTCCCGTACGTTCTGAGTGCCTGAGTCCATTCGGACTTTGCCAATTTCAGGACAATGTTAAGAGAGTATTTGATCCATGCACGGTAAACAAAAAACTCGGAATCCGAGACGTGAAAAAATTGGAAATTTCAATTTTTGAGGCAGGAAATCGACTTTTAAGGCATCCTCTCGGTTTCGAGCACCCAAAGCCTGATTTAGAGCCGCTCTGCTCTGATTCCGAGGTATGGAGCTCGTAATCCGGGAATCGTCTCTCGAAATCCGGGAATCGTTTTTCGGAATCGGGTAAAAGGTGACTCGGTTTTAGAGACACGTTTACCCGATTTCGGGATCGGTAGCTCGGAATTAGGACAACCTCGGAAATCGAGATTTCCGCCTCGGAATCCGAGTTTTTTGTTTACCGTGTGAGCGTTCTATTTCTGGAGTGACATATCCAGGGAACTGTAGTAATGAATTTCGATTCGAAACTATATTTGGTCAGGAGATTTCCAAAGTCGTTCTCACTACCTTTTTAAAAAAGTAACAGAGTTCACATTGTTCGCTCTGACGTCGAAATGGGCAGAGGTAGTGTAATAACTCTACGCCTACAGTACTTCTCTATGCGGACGATTGATGCTCCACGAAGCACTTGGCAGAGCTTCTCCTAACCCGTTTTCGTGAAAAAATGCCTTCAAATTTGAAAATCGATGGATCCTAAGAACGCCGTCCGATCTCCTCGTGACGTTTCAACATTGATCTCCCACCCGCTCAACATTGTCCGATCTCACGTTTGACGCTCTTAGCAGCAGCAGCGCTTATTTGACTTAATTATCAGTTGCGTAATATCGGCAGTAAATGAAAAGTAAAACTTGGTCTATGTTCATTGGTCTTTTAAGAACCCATAGCAATATTTACTTTTTCGCTGGCTGCCAATATTAACCAACTCGTAATTGAAAGAAAGCCGCGCTGCAGAGACCGTAAGGAGATCGAACAGTGTTACACCGTACTGGGAGATCAGACGATGTTGTAGCGTCACTGGGATATCGCACGACGGTAAAAGGGCCCGTCGAAATAAGGCTAGTACGCTTTGGCAGTGTGAACACCGTGTTGCCTCCGCACATGCACGGTTACGTCATCTCAAATCCCTCTTTCAGTGAAAAGTAAGGTCTTGCTGTTCTGCTTCTTTGGTGGCTAAGCAGGTCATCGCATCTACAACACTGGTTCAGAAATGCCTAAATTTGTACTTTCTTAATTGTGAACTCCGCACCCCCATTTTTAGGTTGGCCCTTGTTTTATAACTTCTAGGTACCGGTAACAGATTGAAAGGACACAATGTGGACATATGTAGTAAGGGATGAATTTAGACCAATACAATATAAGGATGGGCATCCGTGGGGCAATGTCGTGGCAAAAACCTGTCCTTGAAGGCGATGTTCTAGTCAAACTCAAAAGGCATAAGATGGGATGATTGGGTTTAAAATTTAAGTACAAAACACTTGTGGTGATAACACAAGACCAATTCAAAGCCAAGAAATGCAAAATTTTAGTTTTATCATTAATTTAATGTGATCAGAATATAGCCTTTGAAGGTTTTCGCTGAGCGAACCTAATTCCAAGTCGCTAAGGGGTCTCCGTCGTGAGCTCGGTCGTGAGTCTGTCTGTGTCCTGCGTACTAGCAATGCGTGATTTGAACTATCAGTACTCTGTACATATTTTTTTAGTAGTTAAAACATGCCATTACAACCAAAACACCCAACAAATTTGACAAAAAAATAAATATTTTAGAACTCCCAAATGGCCCGTTAGCTGGGTAGCCTTACTAGCTATATAACACAGAATTCAACAAGAAGACGTCAGCGGTTGTGTTTAGAACTCACAAAAGAAAATAAGTGCGGCCAAGAAGGTGAAAGAAACTCCTAATAAAGTAACTAAGTAAAAAAAGCTGCCTTGTCTTTGGTTATGAAATGGACGCTTCTCTACGAAATGTCTTATGACAATTGAATTATTTTCTAAGAACTTGTGATTCTGAACGAATAGAGGAGTTGCCTGAAAGCAGATCATTAGAGAAGACGAACAAGAGGACCGGAAACTGGTATGAGAAATTGAGCGGTTAACCAATCAGTGCTAAACAGGCATTAGCGGCGCTCATCCTGGATTGGTCAACGCCTCAATTTCACGTTCTATTTCTGATATTCTTGTACTTCTTTCCTTGTCGTCTTCTTCCAGGCAACTCCTCTATACATTGAATACAATTCTCGTTTCACTTTCGCCGACGTTTACTTACTATATTTCTCAGCCTGAGTACCATATTTTTATGTTAAGGTATGCTTTTATTCTGTTAACAGGGGACCACGACCTTTTTTGTCATGGGAAGCGAACGGCAGGAGTATATGGCAAAGGTGAAGACTTTTGTCGCATTAGCTCCAATCGCCTTTGTGAATGACATCCGGTCAATTCCTGTGCGACTAATGGCCGTAGCACCCAACGCGCTCGGGGTGAGTTTAAAAGCTAACGGAAGAAAACGAAAGTTACCATGTTAAAGCATAGTGATTTCCGTTTTTTTTTCTTGCGCATGCTTCATCTCAGATTTGCTTGAATGCTTTATAATTGTCGTACAACCGTCGAAATAAAAAGTGAGCTGCGATTTACTAATACCCTTATCGACGAGCTATTGTAATGAAAGCGGGAAGCCAGTACACTTTGAATTCAAAACGGAATAAGATCTTTCGAGCGATATTTCGGGTAAGCCGAGCGGCGTAAACGGAACTGCCCATTCCACGGCTGGTTGCATCTCTGACAATGACGCCCGGGGGTGAGGTGAAGGCGGCGGGCGCCAGAGAGTCGACTGCCCACATGAGAAGGAAAGGCTAAAACAGAGCACACTATAAAAAATGTTGCTGGTGCGGCAGGGAATCGAACGCAGTAGCGGAAAGTGCCAGAGCCCCGCGCTCGACGACCTCTGTGTCCATCCTCAGGCGCGTATTAAAGGAGTGAAGGGGGCGATGCCCCCCCCCCACCTCTCGGTCTATAGCCGCCTGAAGGTAGGCCATTTAACCCACAAACCCCCTGTATGTAGACAACTTTCGATACACCGCCCCCCCTTATTACGTCCCTGTTCTCTCTGCTGGCCCGGTGGATAAAGCGACAGAACCAATTGTAGCAGAATACGAACGTACGTGCGTACGTACAAAGGATTTCAGGGCCATTGTAGACACATGATTTCAGGAGTGCTGGCCCCCTTGCTCTGGGTTGGGTTATAGCCTCTTTCTAGTTCTACCCGGTTCTATCTCTTTCTGGTGGATATTTGTTCCCTTTTCTTTGAATACGTTAATTCATGTGTTTCTTCTTTTTAGGACCTCATCAGATTAATGGGAGCGAATGAGTTTTTGCCGAACTCTAAGCTAGTGTCCTGGCTTGGGGATACATTCTGTGCTGATGGTGACATTACTCAACCATTATGCTACGACATCATGTTTCTGATTGGTGGTACGGACTCCCAGCAGATGAATGCAGTAAGTTGATTTCTGACCAGTTGGTCAGGTACAGGTACTGATGTATTTTGATCCGTTTAAAATTGCCATTTAAGAAAAAAACGACTATGTAAACAGCAGAAGCAGGGTCGGCCAGCTTTTAATCTCTGACGATTTTTCGCTTTTTTATGTACCGGCAAAGTCCAAAAATTTCTATGTAGACTAAATCGAGCGGGAGCGTCTGCATTGCAGTCTAACAACGCAGCTCGGACACCAAGAAAACACGAAGGAAACGTGAAAAGTCGCAAAGAGTTCAGTCGTTAACTAGACATTCTGTGCGGTTGACAGCAAGCCTCTGCTTTTCTTTGATGAAGGACGGGTACACATTTTCGAATTCGTACGTTTTATTCTGTCCCTTTTTCGTGATAGTGTCACAATTAGAAGGAAAAGTTAAAAGCTCGCAAACATGAGAGCAACGCGAAATATTGTGGTAGCAGTCGATACATGAAAGCACGAAACTAAGCCGACCTCCGAACCCATCGCCAAGCCCGAGAGTCGAACACGATCATGATGCTCGTCACTCAGTCTTGGTCAGATCAAATGCCTGTGAACGAAGTGGTCGTTACCATATTGCCGTATTGCGGCTACGAAAAAGAGATGAAAACACGTACTACGTCTTAAAGTTGCAGCGTCCTTGAGAACGGTTTGCCGCTTTTCGCGCTTCCTGAGAGTCTTCTTGGTGTTCGAGCCGCAATATTGGACTGCAATTAACACGCCCTATGTCGTCTTTTTCGTGCGTCTGCTACCAAACCTTTTTGACCTCACCAGCACATAAAAAAGAACACGAAAAGTCGTTTTGTGGATTTTGACCTTTTCTTTTTGACATTTTCTGTAATGAGTCACATTGTCCACCTCCTGCAATGTGCAATAATTTTGCAGCTGATTCACTGAAGTCACTTTTCAAAAATGCCTTGTAGACATAGAATTCAAGACCCAAGAACTTAGCATGAAAAGAGTACCACCCGGCGAGGGAATAGAGCGCGGAGCGGAAAAAACAAACGGGGATACAGTGAGCGGTGTTGTGGGCGGGCAAGCGGAGGAGTGGCGAGTAGTAGGACAGCCCGCCGCTCGATACTTCGCTCGCCCACCACCACCATCATCAATCTTTGTATCCGCTTTTGTTCTTCTGAGTTCCGCGCCGCGCTCTAGCGAAGTACTCTGTTCTACGAGACACGAGACTACTCAATTTTTTGTTACTTGCAGACTGCTATACCGGACATTTTAGCAAACACACCTGCAGGAGCTGCAACGAAACAGTTGATTCATTACGGTCAGCTCATCGCCAAATGGAGACAGGAATTCAGGCAGTACGATCACGGCTGGTTGGGAAACTTATTCCGCTACCAATCACTAAGCCCTCCAGAATACAACCTAAGCAAGATTTCTGCGACTACGTACTTATTCACGTCCGACAATGATTTGCTGTCGGTGAAAAAGGTATGGCGAAAGTACCAGCTCGAGCAGATTATTTACTAAAGCAGTGCGATTACTCATCTCAACACACAAACGTGCGCAAGATCAGCTATTGGTCCACAGTTTCTGGCCCCAGCTCAACGTAGTAACAGTTGGAGTGCCAGCGCGCAGGCCTCGGTATAAGTATACCAGGCGTGTCGCAGCGTAACAGTGTTTCGTGAGACATGAACTGACGTACAACTACTATAGTGGACGGTGAAAAAAAGCGCTAGTACCAAGGCAATAGAGAGTAATCCGAATGCAGATATGTAGAAGACTCGCAGAAATAACATTAGCCCATAAGCTATTTCAGAGAACTGGGAAAGAAGAACAGCACGAATAACAAGAGGGACCGCGATTCGTCGCTCAGGTAGAGGGGGAGACCGGGCGACGAATCGCGGGCCGCCTTGTTATTCGTGCTGTTCTTCTTTCCCAGTTCTCTGAAATACCTTATTGCGCATGAGCAGGCTATGGTGGGGGGTGGCTCGGCTGGCCCGGTGTCTCCCCCCCCCCCCTCCCCACGGCCAGCCGCCCTGTACCATAGCTTGCTCATGTGCAGAGGGCTTTTGTTACTCCCATGAGTCTTCTCTAAAGCTGCCGCCGGAATACACTATAGCTTCTTTCGGGGACTAAAAATAGTCGTTATTTCTTTCAGAATGTTGAAGAACTAGTCCGAAGACTACCCAGCATTGCACCAGATGGGGTGAAGAAGGTGCCATTTCGCAAGTTTAATCATCTTGACTATATATTCGGAAAGAACGCCAAGGAACTGGTCTACAACGATATTGTGAAAATAATTCGCAGACATGATAATAATAAAATCCCGGCTTTCTGAAAAGACTCGTACGCCTCTTATATTGTTTTTAATCGTTCTCTACGTCCTTCCCTCATAAACCAGTAGGGTGAGTCGACCTTATTGCACGTTTTTTTTGGCTCCTCTTTGGGTGATATTTTCAGATATGTCTGCCCACCTCAGAAAGATGGCCGTTTGTCTGCCACGCCTGTACGTAGGGAGGGTCCTGAGGAGAACGAAATACAAGTACAAATTGTCGCGCACGACCCGGCTGCACTGTCTGTGCTGCGGGGATAGGAAAAGAGTGGTACAAAGTGCTGCCCACGGAGAAATCCCTATTCTTACCTCTCATGTACAACCATTGGTCCCACTGAAATTTAGTGGTACGAGTGGGTGGATTACGGCGGATTGCCTCTTGGAACACTCGGCCTCGCAGGGAGTTCGCCTTTTGAGCCGCGCCAACCTGGTCGGGGGATTAAGGGGCGGGGGACCAGCGCGTAAATGCGGAAGCAGGATGGCCCGGATGGCCCTGGGACGCCCTGCTCTCCCACGAGAAGTCATCATTTGAGCCGCGACGATCAAGCAGAGTATAAGGGCCGGGTCACAGGCTCTGGGGCCGACGTGGCGGCAGAGTCTACGCTCCGGAGGCTCCACTACACCCCTCGCCTGATGTATGCAAATAGGCTTGTTGATGCAGGTTTGCTTACATTTTTGAAGAGAGACAGTTGGATGCAATAAAGCATTCCGGCAAAGCTGAAATGCAGAAGAATGCAGGGAACAAGAAAACGGGAGTCCCATGTAAAAGCATGATGATCTCCGTTTTCTTCTTCCTCACATTCTTCTGCAGTTTAGCTTTACTGCTTTACCTTTGCTTTGCTTTACCGGAATGCTTTATTATCATATCATTACTAACGTACTGTATTGAGTTAGGTTAGTTTAGGTTTGTTTGGTTTAAAAACACAACCTAAACCACAATTTTTTTTTAGACCATTTTAAGGTCCCGACAAGGAGGACACAAGGTCAGCATAGGCATTTCAAAGGCGAAAGTTAAAGTTCAATTAATTCAGTTTAATATGAATATTAGTCTGTACTTTTAGACAGTCTGTACCAGCCAACAACCAACTAGCGCGGCGCAAATTATGACTTTTTGCCCGACTGGCCCTGGGGTGGCGGAGCGTCCGTGATTACTCGCCTAGGGGCCGGCCCCCGACCAGCGCGGCTCAAGTGATGACTTTCGGGGGTGGACGCAGAGGCATCTTTTCGTTCCCCTACCAGTCCCTACCAGAGCCGTTTTCGTTAGCGGTAGGAGGCCGGTTGTGACGTCACGCGGTAGGCTGGTAGCTCCTACCAGCCTACCAAACTCGGAAGGGTGGTAGGCTGGTAGCGGTAGGGCGAGACTTGAAATATTTGATCAAATCATGATGTCGTTCATGTTAAATTTTAATCTTGAACATTATTAGTGGGTGGTTGAGGCCAAATGAGAACTGATAATCGGCTCGAAGCAAAATAATTTGCCGTGTGAAAGTTGAAGTTGGAGTAGACCAACACATTTCCATGTTTGTAAATACATAAATGTTCTAAAACTTACCACAATTTTACTTTAATTCAATTTTTTGAACATGACATGAGTTTGAACATAAATAAAAAACATTGGTTTGAAAAGCCCGCGCTAACTTGCTACCGCTAGCCCGCGTGCATTTTCATTCCCGGTTGCTGGTTGTGACGTCAGAGCACTCTACCAGCTGCTACCGCGGTAGCGAAACGAAAAGACGCCTCAGGTAGGCGCGGCGCAAAAGCCATACGGCTGCCTCGCGTGCTATCGCTCGGCGCTCCCCCTCCCCTTCCCCTCCCTGCCTCTCAGCTCAGCCGCACCCTCCCCCTCCTCTACGCACAGGTACACAGCGAAAAGAAACGCAGAAAATGAAAGGCATATACAGAGAAATTTTATCATAGATTTCAAAATGAACAAATGTACAAAGCGAAAGAACAAAGCAGAATATATAGGACAAACACTTAACATTTAATGACAGTTCATTTGAGAATTCGAAAATGCTGGGATTGCTTGAGGTTGAGGTAGAAAGTCTGCAGACAGAGGAATTACAATCATAAGAAACCTTCAGTTGTTATAAAGCACATTTGAAATCTCATTCTTACAAATAAACAATAAACTTACCACGAGTGATATTGAGCTGGTAGCCTGATGAGGCTTAGGGCATAGCTGTGAAGAACAGAGAAACAAAATATTAGTAAATTTTTAATGCTTACCATTAAGTAGTAGGTAAAGCCTAAGCTTAATGCTGAGTTTCAGATTCCACTCTAAAGACTTCGTGGTCCGGCCAAACTAACTAATCCCATCCCGAAGTATGAACTCCTTGGCTGTTCTCTCGACAAGTGGGTACCGTGGCTGGATTCACAAGGCTGGTCTCAGTAGGGAAATAAACCTAAATTTAGGTCCTATTTTATTGATTATTAGTTGTAAAAATGTTGGTATGAGTAAAATTAAAAACGTCTCATTGCATTATCATCAGAACATGTTTTCTATGTATAGGTGATACCACACTAGTCATAATCCCCCAACATTTAACCTCTTGCTACATGTTTTGCTGCAGTGGAACATTAGTGAGGTTTCTGAACATTTCGTTTGGGAAAACATTAAGATCTGTTTTCATTGAAAGGACACTGCTTGGCACCATTTCAATTTGGACTGAGGTTTAAGTTTACCAAGTAAAGCCAGTCACAACAACTTGAAGTGTGAAGAAAAATGGTTAAAAAACTTGTACAGTCTATAACAGACTTCAGATTCTTTTACTAGCTTGCACAAAAAGTTGAAAACTAGACAGAGTTGTCCAAGAGAATGATAAATAGATCAGTCTTTAATTAAAAATAATAGTTGCCTTGGAACATCGGATCTATGAAGAATGGCTGAATAGTTTCCATTCCAGAGTGAACTCAATCACAAATTTCACAGCCCATGATCGGCATTAAATAATACAAAATAGAGAACTTATCTCACCGTATCTCACGCTAAATACAAAATTACACATACCTCGAAGAACACAGGAAAAAGATAAACATAAAGTTGAAGAGATTAGCGAGGAATACTTATGAAATAATTTGGAAGCTTATTGTTGCTCAGGAGGACCATTTGGTATTTTCCCCATTAACAGTCTTGTCAATCGCAGAAAGATCTTCCTCCCCAGTTTTTCCTCAACAGTGGCAGTCGGAGTGTCTTCAGTGCCAGCTGGATTCTCGTTGCCCAACATATCTTGATTGATATCTTGAACTGAATCTTCCACTTCTTTGACTTCGCCATTCTTGTTGAAATTCTCTATCCATTCATCGCCTGAAGAACGAAATTAGAAATTGAGAAATCTAACATGAATCATAAATACTAGGTAGATGTACGCCAGACCACGTCTCGCGTAACAGGCTTCGCGATATCTCATGAAACACTGTTACGCTGCGACAAGCCTGGCATACATCTACCTAGGCCTGCGGCGCTGACACCCGAGTCGGGAAGCGCCACAATGTACACAAAGATACGGGCCTCCGGCCCGTCAACTTCCCGTCGCTTCGACTAAGAACGCAGGGTTGTACATTTGTTGGCTTATTTTCGTCAAAACATCCCTGTGGCGCCTAAATGGTTAAAGATAAAGCCAAACGGATGAAATTTTCGCCCAGCGGGCTCTACTTTGATGAGTTACCCTTTAAGAAACAAAAACAAAAAAAATAATTTAAAAAAAAAACTTATATGTGGGACCTGATCTGTGGTTTTTGATTTTAAAAAAACCAATTTTCGAGCCAGAATGCTCTTCTTCGAACTCGATCCGTCTTTTTATGACACAAAACGACCCTGAAAATCCCAGGTCGCCAGCTCAATTCGTTCTCGAGTTATCCTGCGCGTAGACAAACAGACACACAGACAGACGCGAAACTTTTTGACCATCACTGGAGTAGGGGAGAGTGGGGCAGATTGAGGAACGGGGCAGTTTGAGGAACTGCCTACAAATTTTGATTGCGGGCACTGACACCGCCGTAGGTTGAGTACTAAATTGGCCTAATGTACTTTCATTCTAAAACGTTCATACGTAAAAGCTGCGAGTAAGCTGGTGCGTTTTTTAAACTACGAATGTCAAAATAGACAAGTTGGCAGCCAAAACGGGAGTTTTTTCACCTTATATATTATGTTATT